GGGCACTTGTACCCCAATGTTTATAGCAGCACTTTCAACAATAGCCAAATTATGGAAAGAGCCTAAATGTCCATCAACTGATGAATGGATAAAGAAGCTGTGGTTTATATATACAATGGAATACTACTTGACAATGAGAAAGAATGAAATCTGGCCTTTTGTAGCAACGTGGATGGAACTGGAGAGTGTTATGCTAAGTGAAATAAGTCATACAGAGAAAGACAGATACCATATGTTTTCACTCTTATGCGGATCCTGAGAAACTTAACAGAAGACCATGAGGGAGGGGGAGGGAAAAAAAAGTTAGAGAGGGAGGGAGCCAAAGCATAAGAGACTCTTAAAAACTGAGAATACACTGAGGGTTGATGGGGGGGTGGGAGGAAGGGGAGGGTGGGTGATGGGCATTGAGGAGGACACCTTTTGGGATGAGCACTGGGTGTTGTATGGAAACCAATTTGACAATAAATTTCATATTTAAAAAATAAAATATAAAATAAATGGTAAAATTTATAACATCAAACATACGGTCTATTAAAAAAAATGAGTGAAATGGGAGGGACACAGAAACCACTGGGTAATAGATCTGAAATCTAGCTGAAATAATACTGGAAGCTCATTTCTTAGTACTCAATTCTACTCCTGCCCAGATGTCATTCTACATGGCTGCTGACTCTGCCTTTTGGATCCTTGGTCCAAACTCTGAGTCCTTTGTCCTTTTTCCCTCAAAAGTAGCATCAATTTGCAGTTGAGTGTTTTTCTCAGCTTACTTCATACTGGTGGAATTTGTGCGGACAAACAGACTACTGTGTATGGTACAGTCTCCATCTCATTCAGTCCCTGCAGACAGTGCTTCACCTGAAAGAATTCTCTTAAATTTTATGACTCTTATTGGGGTTCTTTTCAAATGTTAGACAAAAGTGACACCAAAAATATGTTAAAAAGAAGCCATTCTCTAATTTAGGCTGCTGCTGACAGACAATATCCTCAACTTTTTAGAGATGTTTTGGTTGATTAAGAATGTCTGTGAGATGCCCACACCACTAAACATGTACTGGGCCTTTTGTGTGACTGAGTAATACCATGAGGAAACAGCTATAGTCTTCCTGAGGTTTTAATAATTTCACAGTTATCTCCTTAGTCTCATACTTGATCATGCTTTCCTGATAGTGTCCTGGGTTTGATCTCTGCTTGGAAGACATTGCTTCATTTTTAGAATCATTTCCCATATTTGGATGCTGCAAATCTTCGAAACCAGGAAACACCTAATATTTTCATTTGTTTATTTCATTTTTTAATCCTGAACATTATGTCTTTCATCATGCATGTAATAAACAGCAAGAAAATTTCAGATGACACCTTTAACTCTCTGGCTGGAAATATCTTCGGCTAAATCATCAGTTCATTAGATATGTCTTTGACTTTCCACATCAGTGAAGGCTTTATTTTTGGTCAACTTTCTGCCTCTGCAGGATAAGAATTTCCTCCCTTTAGTTTCCAATATATTTTCTTATTTTATTTTTTGCTTTCCCTGGGAGCTCCTCAAAGTCTAAAACTCTAGTACCAGTAAGGCAGGTTAGCCTTCCACCATTGGTCTCTGCAAATTCTGAAAGTGTACTCTTATTCCCAATTCCAGATACATCCCCACAGTTTAGATTGTCTGTTATAGAAGTATCCCACTTTTGCATAATCAAAATCTGGATATGTCATCTATTCCTGTGTACACATAAAAATAGACCAAAACATAGCAGTTCCAAACAACAAATCATTTCATAGTGTCAGGAATC